AATTTCAATAACAACGGAATCTATTTATCTCTCGTTGCGTCTACGTATATATAAATCAACATTCAATGTGTACATACGCAGTCAGGTATCAGCAAAAGAGAGAAAAAAATGCTTACTACGAAAATACAACTAACTAACTGTTGATTGACTTTGCTTTATGTATTCTAAAATAATTATAAACAATCAGACAGTCATTCCATCACGAACTTCTTCTGTCAGTAGTTATTTTTAATTATTAGAGAACTAGGGAAATAGGAAAATGTTTAACTTTAACAAGGTCAGTGTAAATCTGTTTTCAAACGTAATCTAAAAATAAATACTTTTTTCCTGTTAGTTTAAGATAACAAAACAACAATTTGAACACTTCATCCGGTCAATTGATAAAATTTGACAATTTCTTCTCTTCCTAATTGAACCTTTTTCGAAACATTAGAATTAAAACTGTAAAATTTAATCAAATACAATCGAACTGCGATGTGACACATAAAAACTTCGAGTAATCAAATAATACTTCTTTAATTAGTATTTCTTTGTGAATGAACACTTACGTATTTATTTCAGTAAAAATTGGTCAAATGTTACATAAGTGCCTTAATATCTATGCTATTCAAAGGAATAACAAAAATTATGAAACAGTACTATCAACATATTTTTACATACATAGTAAGTATGTACATATGTATATACTACAAGTGTGATGACATTAACACTCGCAAAAGTGTCTTTAATGTAATATATAAATAAATGAAATGGGCACAGTATTTTTTACTTATTGTTAGTAGTAACTAGTAAGTCAAACAAGTGAACTTAGCAAGAGCAGAAACTGAACTGCCTGCATAAATACGTTAAAAAAGATAGGTTAAAATCGACCGTAATTACGGGATTCCCCCAGAAAATTCGACTTATCGAAGTTGGCGCAAAATATTTCGTTCAAGTTATCAAGATATTCGAGTAATCGAAGTTCGAGTAATCAAGACAAATTTACACGCATTTCCTACTTTTGTCGCTATTGCCAACCAATTTTGTTGGAATTATCGAAATGTTATTGTAAATGAACCGTGGTGTAAAAGTAAAAGTTTTGTACATAAATATATATAGCGAATGCTGAGGCAGTGATAATATTGTACAGATAATCTTTCACTTATTTCTGTTTCATTTCGTCCGTCTCAAATTTCCCACCCCCAACCACCGCCCACCTATTTCGACTATTCTTAAACGCAGTTGACACACCAAAATGCTTTAAAGTTTCCAACACAGTCCAATCACCTGCACATTATGATATCCGAAATATGTGTTAAATATCATTGACGACTATATAAAAATAGGCTTTCTATCCTTCGGGAACAGTATAATTTTTAGAAAATACCACAAATGGCGCAGTAAACGCCATCTGTAGCACAATGCTACATTTTAGGATTATAATTTTTGTGAATAAAATTGACTCTTAAGTCCTTTTCTGGACCCCTGGCAAAGTGTGTACAAAATTAGGTTTTACTGCGGCTTCACTCGCATTGATGTCAGCGACGACTCCCTAAAACTAATTTTATTTCTCAGGTACAGTATTTCTTTCCTGGATAAAAGGCACCCCACATTCCTTTATGTACCCCTAACAATGTGTATACAAAATTTCATTACAGGTTTTACCTGAGGTTTAGCTCGCGTTGATGCCCTAAATAAGTGTCAAAAGTGATTGATGACCACACGAAGCTACTTCTACTATCTCTTATGAACAGTATTTTTTTCTGGATAAAAAGTACCCTATATTCCTTTCTGCATCCCTGACAATGTGTGTACAAAATTTCATGACAGGTTTTACTCGCGGCTTCGTTTACGTTTGTGTCCTAAATGCGTGTCAGCAGTGATCAGCCTCCGCCACACGAAGCTAATTCTACTATCTCTTGTGAACAATATTTTTTCTAGATAAAAGGTACCCTATGTCCTTTTCTGTATCCCTAATAATGTGAGTACAAAATTTCAAGATAATCGGTTGAGCGGTTAAGGCGTAAAAAGGTAACAAACAAACCTATATTCACAGTTACATGTATTACTAACGGAAACATCCTTTTTTAAAACGGTTATTCCCTTATTACAGCACTTTTCCAATTAATTTAAAAATGAAAACACTTGAACTATCTCAAGAGAATTCAGAAGAACCGCCAGATAGTAATATAATTTCACCGATTTAGAATGCCTTATAATTTTAGTCATTCATTCGACCATCCTTACACGTTGCGGCTGTTTCCTCAGAGATTAGGTATACGTATATAAACACCATGGTCTACTAAGAATAGCACTCAATCATTTCCTATGCTTGATAGAAACCATCTTGATGCACTCATAATGGATTATCTAGCATCAATTAGAGCAATAGCCACTACTTGCGTTAATGCATTATACATTTAATGTCGTACTACAAATTGCAGCTCTTAGTAGTAATGGATATAAAATTGTTTCGGCGATATTGTGTTAAATAATCTTATTTAATTTAATATGAAATATTATACTGAAAATTCAATTTCTGAATTTTTTTACACACTACACGCTACCTCAAATTAATGAGGGAAAAATTGTTGCAGTTGTCACACCCCCGTCGGGAATCGAAACCGGAACCTTTGGTATAATATTTCGTATTAAACTAAATCACTTCTCAAAAGATGTCTAAATTGTATGTCTATTTTATTTAGTTAAAATTCGAATATATCAAACGGAGTTATTACTTTCAAATGTAGCGAGACATATTCTGACCAAATCTCTCACGATTTGTGTTTTAAAACTGGGTATTTGCAATAATTTTTCGAGAACAAAAACAAGAACTAGCTAAGTGGCATATAAGTACACTCAGGAAACTAGAGTCTGAGAGAACGTCGAAAACTAAAAACAGAAGCCTGTAGGATGAACGATTCACATCAATTATTAGATAGGAAGAATATAAGTATATAGATATAGAAAAGCGTCCACCAGGTAGGCCGAAAAAACGGTGGAAAGTTAAGTTAAAAAAGATATGGTACCTTGAGTACTTTTGGTCACGCAGTACTTGCAATAATAAAAATTTCGGAAATTTGTTAATAAATGTTTGGAGAAATAAGGACGAGGAAGACACTACAAAATCTAAATTAATATTTAGGAGAAAGTGCTTCAAAATACAAAATGAATACGAAACCTCCAACTCATTCAACCGAAAAATAAAAAATGAATTTCTTGGGCGCATAAAACATGAGATTTATATGTAACTTAAGTATTTACGTGCAAGTTTTTATTTACATATTACAACATGAAATAGGATAAAAGAAAATAGACAGTGACAAAATGCATTATATATCCACAAATTCTGAATTTTGAACAGATGGGATAGCTTCACTAATATGAGATAGAAGTCGTAATAGCAGATGTGGATTATGCACTTATATTTCTGTAAAAAATGAGTAACCGCGACATATAGGACAATGTATGTACTTGGGTACATCTCAATTGCATGATCATTAAAAGCATCATTTTAAAAACAGTCACTTTCGTTTTTGTTAACACAGGAAATGCTTTAATTATGCGCATATTCACATGTATATTATATGTATTTCACCGGAAGAATTGATAACAATACCTACTCTATGATATACATAATTCATACAATTGATGAATGTCCTTCACCCATTTCACATGGCTTTAATACAATACGTGATGTTGATTTTATTTTATAGCATTATTTTGAAAATATAGGTACTCAATAATTGATTTGAAAACAGCTTATTCGAGGATAACGAATAAAATTGTATTAATTATTCCTTTATTAATTAGTTTTAGGTTTATCGTGAACGTGAATATTTTAAATTAATTTCCCGGGAAAACGACAGACATTAATTTCAATTTTTTTGTTTATTCAAAGAACGACAAACGATTTTCTTAATTAGGCTATGCTTTTAAGCACTAATTGCTTTTTTATGAAAAGAAAATGAAATGGATTGCTGAAGTCAAATACTAAACCATTTGATTAAGTTTTCTTAATTTTCTTTCTCTTTTGGTGTAATAAATAGTGTCTCTCGATTAAAGTATCGGAGGCAACACAAGGTAAATAACTATGCTCAAATAGCTTGAAACAAGTATTCAATTACTATTTAATTTTTCCATCTAAAGAATAGAGGATAATTAGTAGCGAGCTGAAATATTTTTAGTCTTGTTGAAAAAGTATAATAAGTATTTCACACATTAATTAAATGAATACATTTTCAATCGTGAGNTAAAAGTAAATGTCACCGCATTTTAAACTTGCCAATTTATTTTTTATTAATTATGGATACGTGTCGATGTGAAGAGTTTGACAAAATAGCTGAGAATATTAGAGCTTGGGTGCCTGGATCTATTCATCTAATACAGAAAATAAAGTGTGGTAAGTAATTGTTCAATATATAATTATAGTAGTCAATGTGTGAATCAGGGAACTGACGATAAGACCAGGGTTGCCATCTGTAAAATCAACAAATCGGGATAAGGCAAGAAGCTTAAAAAGCTGTGAATTTATTCTGAAACTAATATAAGAGCGACTCCGACAGACAATTATATTTCAAACGGTTACGTGATGGATCATATGATTCCTTAATTATAAATTTTTTAATAATTTTATTTGAATAAGCAGCACCCTGACCTAGGCCTATGACCCGATGCAGCGGGCAGATAGCACAAGTAATTTTAAAACCTGGAAGGTATAATAGTAAAAACCGCCAGGACGCTCCTTGAACGCCATCCTTATATGTATATCACGGAAATCATATGTAATTACCTTGTAGGGCAAGTAACTAGATGTCATTTTTTTAAATAAAGTTTGCGAGTAATTATTTATCAAATTGTAAAATATAAAAAAAATTGAATGCCTACTCTATTTTAGGTATCATCATTATTAAAATTCGTTTCTTTGATGATATACCGCATTGGATGTTTTCAATTTGCGATTGATTTCAAGCAGGACCTTTGAACGAGAAACAAAACGGAATATCATGAAAATCACTTACCGAGTTCGGAAATGATGTTTTGCAGAGGCCTCGCCTGGTCTGCGTTCACGCTATCGACGTCTAGGCAAGCTTCATAGAGGTACTTCAATTTCCATTCGACTGTACCCGTGTGAAGGGGTAGCGGCAGAGTGTTCACTAGTTCTCGTACTCTTCGAGCTTCTGGAAAACAAAATATAAAATGTATAGACATTGTTTCGTGAAGTAAGGGAAGATTTAATAAACAAAACCAGTTCCAAGAATAAAAGAGCAAGATGAAAAATATATGTAGCCTAGAAGAAATAAAATTTTGATGTTGCGAAAATGTTCAGAAAATCGGATATAGATAGGACTAGTCAGATTAGGTACTCAAAGGTGCAAAAAGAACCCTCCATATTTATTATTCTAATGTTATTTCCTAAATATTGCAGGCATATTAAAGACATTCAAATAATAGAATTTCAAACTAAGCAGCAATAAATGAAAATTCCTCAGTATTTGGCAGTTTCACAATCAGTGTAAGAATCATACCTACCTAACCATACAGAATAAAACATTCTTAGTATTAGAAAATACTACAAATGGCGCGGAAAACGCCATCTGTAGTACGATGCTACATTTTGGGATTACGTATGCTCCAACAAGGTCCATTTAAATATATGGATATCTACTTGCTGAAACGAATCCCGGCGTAGCTAACCTCAACGTGATAGGCAC